TCTACTCTAATTCTATTCTATTCTACTCTACTCTAATTCTATTCTACTCTAATTCTATTCTACTCTACTTATATTCTACTCTTCTACTCTAATTCTATTCTATTCTACTCTACTCTAATTCTATTCTACTATTCTACTATTCTACTCTAACTCTATTCTATTCTACTCTAATTCTATTCTATTCTACTCTTTCTACTATTCTACTCTACTCTACTTCTATTCTACTCTATTTCTATTCTACTATTCTACTCTACTCTAATTCTATTCTATTCTACTCTAATTCTACTCTACTTCTATTCTACTATTCTACTCTACTCTATTCTATTCTACTCTAATTCTATTCTACTCTACTTCTAATCTACTATTGTACTCTACTCTAACTCTATTCTATTCTACTCTAATTCTATTCTACTACTCTACTTTACTCTTTCTTCCAGGATGTTTCTTTAACCTCTAGCATCGTCCTTTCCTCATGGTCTCCCATCCCCGGTTCCCAAAACATCCAATTACTGACACACACACACACCCTGGGGAAGGAAGCCTGGGGCGGGGGTGGATGGGGATTTGGGGGACCTTCCCCCTTACCAGGGCATGTTTGAGGATCTGTTGCTTGCGCCAGAATCGGGCGGCAACGTCGCCACGGAGCCAAAGCGAGGAAGTGAGGAAGACCATGCCAGGGACCCGGAGTTTTGCAGGAGAAGCGGCGGAGGGGTTGCCGGGCTGGAGGTGACCGAGCCACGCGGTGCAATTCCCTTTCCTTCCCCCCCGGCCGCAGACTTGGGCTGCAATGGCTGCAAAAACGCAAAGGGGAAGAGTGCGCACTCCGCAACCCGACTTCCGGCGCTGGTGCGGGGAAATGGGGCTCGTCATTTGAGTGGAGAGGAGGGAGGAAGAGGAACATCGCCGTGGCATTCAGATGCGAGGACCGGAGGACACAAGAGGGCGGTTGTCGCTTCTTTGCACTGGAGACCCGCCGTGCCGTCTTCGTCCCGTCCCTTTCCCAGCTCATCGTCCCGTCCATTTCCCCGTTCGTTTCAATGGGAGTCGCCCCTCAGAAGAAGGAAAGAGGAAAGGCCGAACGTGGAGCTAAGGCAGCTGCGATTCTGATCGACGCGCCCCCGAGGGGAATTTATAAGGAAATGAAAAGTACCCGAGCTGGCGCTTCCCCCCCTTCCCCTCCCTAATTTCTAATTTTTCTAATTTCTATTTTATTAATTTCTAATTTCTCTAATCTCTATTTTTTTAATTTCTAATTTTTCTATTTTCTACTTTCTCTTTCTAATTTTTCTATTTTTTTCTAATTTTAGCTAATTTTGAAAGACCATATCAAATCGGACCTCATTAGGAAGGGAGACCACAAGGAGAGCCCAGCGTTGGCTCGGGAGGAGATCAAACTTTCTGGAAGAAAGCAAACAACTGCTTGGGTGGGGGACTGGGCTAGATGACCTACAAGGGTCCCTTTCAACCTTGTTAATCTGTAAACTTTGGTTTTCCTGTTGGAAAAAAAAAAACCCTGCATGGGTGGATATAGATGGGAATGCAGGATGTTGATTGGGACAGGCTGTGGCAGAATAGAATAGAATGTAGGATAGGACAGGAAGGATAGGACAGAATAGAATAGAGGATAGGATAGAATATAGGATAAGACAGAATAGAATAGAGGATAAGATAGGATAGAATAGAATAGAATAGAGAATAGGATAGGATAGAATATAGGATAGGACAGAATAGAATAGAGGATAAGATAGGATAGAATAGAATAGAGAATAGGATAGGATAGAATATAGGATAAGACAGAATAGAATAGAGGATAGAATAGAGGATAGGATAGGAAAGGATAGGACAGAATAGAATAGAGGATAGGATAGAATATAGGATAAGACAGAATAGAATAGAGTAGAGGATAGGATAGGATAGAATATAGGATAGGACAGAATAGAATAGAGGATAAGATAGGATAGAATAGAATAGAATAGAGAATAGGATAGGATAGAATATAGGATAGGACAGAATAGAATAGAATAGAGGATAGGATAGGATAGAATATAGGATAGGACAGAATAGAATAGAGGATAAGATAGGATAGAATAGAATAGAGAATAGGATAGGATAGAATATAGGATAAGACAGAATAGAATAGAGGATAGGATAGAATAGAATAGAGGATAGGACAGAATAGAATAAAATATAGGATAGAATAGAATAGGATAGAATAAAATTCTTTATTGGCCAAGTGTGATTGGACACACAAGGAATTTGTCCTGGGTGCATAGGCTCTCAGTGTACATAAGGAGAATAAAAATACATTCATCAAGAATAAAAAGATACAACACTTAGTGATAGTCATAGGTTACTAAATAAGCTATCAAATTGTATTAGGAAACAATTAAAAGCAATATAAATGTAAAGACACAAGCAACATGGCTATAGTCGTAAATGGGGAGAGATAGATACTAGTAAGGAAGAGAAGAAGAATAGTAATACGGTCTTAGTAAATTATTTGACAATATTGTGGGAATTAGGTGTTAGCAGAGTGAGGGCATTCAAGAGAAAAAAACTGTCCTTGTGTCTAATTGTTCTGGTGTGAAGTGTTCTATAGCGTCGTTTTGAGGATAGGAGTTGTAACAATTTAAGTCCAGGATGCGAAGGGTCTGCAGATATTTTCACAGCCCTCTTTTTGACTCGTGCAGTGTCCAGGTCCTCAATAGAAGGCAAGTTGATAGCCATTGTTTATGGTCGTAAATCAAGGACTATCTACATGTTTGGTGACACCCAGGAGGAGCACAGCTAGAGAAAGTTCTGGGTTCGGGCTTCACCAATGCCAAGTCTTCAGCAGTCTCCTTCCACCAAGTCTTCCGGCTAAGGTCTGCGCCCTTTGCTACCAAAAGTTCCATCAGGGGAAATAATTTTTTCTCCGCCGCCAAATGCAAAGCGGTTTTGCCCAGCCACCCGGCCACGTTAACGTCTGCGCCGTGATCCAAGAGACAACGGACTACATCGGTGTGACCACCGAGGACCGCACGGTGAAGTGGCGTGAGCAGGAGGTCATCTCTTTGAGTAACGCTGACCGGGGAACTTTGATGGAGCAAAAGGCGGACAGACAGAAGGCACCCAGCGGCTGCAGCTTTGTGGAGCGGGGTGCAGCCACGGGAGTCCGCTAGGTTCCGATCCGCTTGGTTCTGGAGCAACAGCTTCACAATCTGAAGGAGGGGAAGATAGGAAAAGCTTGAGAAAGCAACGGAGGTCACAGCCCCCCATGGAAGAATCCGACAGCTCAGGTTTTGTGCTAAGCTTCCCTAAAATAATCTGATTTTTTTCTTTCAGAAATGGGCTTTCGATCCATTGGAAAGCAAGATGGATAGAATAGAACATGTAAAGAATAGAAAAGAATAGAAATAGAAATAAGGAATAGAACAGAGAATAGAATAGAATATATAAAGAATAGAATATGTAAAGAATAGAATAGAAATAAGGAATAGGGAATAGAACAGAGAATAGAACAGAGAACAGAATAGAATAGAATAGGTAAAGAATAGAATAGAATAGAAATAGGGAATAGAACAGAGAATAGAATAGAATATGTAAAGAATAAAATAGAAATAGAAATAGGGAATAGAACAGAGAATAGAACAGAGAATAGACTAGAATAGAATAGAATAGAATATGTAAAGAATAGAATAGAAATGGGGAATAGGGAATAGAACAGAATAGAATAGAATATGTAAAGAATAGAATAGAAATGGGGAATAGGGAATAGAATAGAATATGTAAAGAATAGAATAGAAATAGGGAATAGGGAATAGAATAGAATATGTAAAGAATAGAATAGAAATAGGGAATAGGGAATAGAACAGAATATGTAAAGAATAGAATAGAAATAGG